CTAAAAACATTTATAAAATAAGATTATTTGGGATGATTAAAAATAAACATTCTAAACTATGTGTTTGAAGCTTTTTAGATTTTGCCAACTACTGAAAAAACTTTTTTTTAGAATGTGCAATATCTGTAGAAGAAAAGACATATGAAAGCCAATCATATTCAAGAATCTACTTGTAGATTGTTCTAAAATGTAATTTTCTTATTTGGTATATTCTCTAACTGTAGTATTAGTATAAAAGAATCTGAATTAGAAAAGGAATCTAATATAAATAAGATATAATAATAAATTTTAAAATATTTATTTATTATATTTTAATTTAACTAATTAAGAGTATGGCAACTTAGTGAAGTGGATAAGTTGTCATACCCTCAAGTGGTAGATTGTAAGTTCAAAACCCACTGATGTTGAAATTTGGATAATCACCTATGTAATATATAGATGGTATTATAATAATAACATTCAGTCGATCAGTTGAGATAGAATACCTGTAATTATGATCATATCAGCATAACTAGCAGGTCTAAGACATCTGTGTAATTTGTTATACAGAGGAATACAAACTGGTACTGGGTAGTGCAAACTTAAAATAAGTCCTTAGGCTATATAAATTCATAGAACTGAGAAGCTGGAGCCTACTTGGAAATTCCAAGCAGAGAGATAATACAGATCTTTAATGGTACTACTATAAAGACTAGACCTAGAAAATAGATATCAATATGAAGGATTCAGGTAAGCAAGAACCTCTGATGAGAGATATTACCAACCAGGCTGCCAGATTTCAAACTAGAGAAAAAAGAATATTGGGCTAGCCTTAATATACCAGGACAAGTTAAGTCCTTTCAGGCTATCTGGATTAGGAGTCTGAATTCAAAGCAAAGATATACTAAAAGTATTAGAGATATACTATAATAACAAGTTTATCTCAAAAATAAAAATATTTTAAAATTAAGATAAAAGATCCAGGCTTGATCTGATGAAGTAATATGAGACAGATTTAAAGAGTTTAAATAAACCATCCAAACAGGTGTGTTAGATATAGCAATTAATAAGAAATATTAGACAGTTTCTTAAATAAATAATATAGAAAATTATATAAATAGCCAATTGTATGTTTTTCTTGTAGTAATTTCTTACAGAAAATTATATTTCTAAAAATATGTTAATAAAGTTAAAAAACAAAAAAGATTATCTTAATACTAAAAAAAAAAAATATTGTTTTATATATAAAAATCTATATATAAAATATTGAATTTAAACATGTTTATAAACTTTAAACTAAATCTGAACCTAAACTTGAACTAAATCTAAATTTGAATTATAAGTTCTATATTGAACTTAAACTAAACTTTTTTTAAAAAAATTTAAGTTTAGGTTAATATTAAACTAAATCTAAACTTAAATTTAATTAAAATTTAGTTCAAATTTATAAGAATACTATTATATATATAACTTTTTCATATTATTTATTTAAAAAGTCTACTTAAAGATTCTTTATTAATTATTATATCTAATATATTTGCTTAGGTATTCTATTTTAAAATTACTGATTTTGCATTTTTGTATTAACTTTACTAAGTTATATCTAGATCTTTATTTCAATCTTAAAACTAATTTATTTTTAAAATAAATCTTCTAAAGCTTTCTATATTTTTATTTATAGTTAATATAGTATTACTATAATTAGATTCAATACTTGTAATCAGTATTAATTATTAAAGTTAGAATTAGTTAAAGTAAAAAGTTACAATAAAATAGATGAAATAACAAAGCCAATAGTTTAGCAAAGAAAGAAGCAAAGAGTGAAAAAATAGTTTAAGTCAAAAAAGTCTATTGTAAAGAGATAAAGTACTGCTTAGAGTGAGAAAACAAACAAACTGACATACTAGCAAAATTGCTATGTAAATTAATAATAAATATAAAATTAAGAGTAAAATGAAAAAAAACAAAAGCAATTAAAGACTTAAAATTAGAAGTTATGATTTATGATTAGATATATTTTTGAAAAAGGTTAAAGATGACTAAAGAGGTGCATTGTATAACAAGAAGAATTAGTATCAAAAAAAATGTATTTATAAAATATATAATAAATAAATTTCTAATTTTAAAAAAATTTAACAAAAGAAGACCAAATTTGTATACAACAACAGAATACCAAGTATGTTAAGATAAAGTTAAAGAAATACATTATATTTGGCAATATGTAAAAAACAAAAAAACTTGTAGAAAAGAATTTAAAAAGTAATCATTACAATAGCTTGAAAAGGACTAAAAGAAGAGAAAAAAATCTAAATTCTTCTATATGTGTTATACAGTATGCACTTTGGAAAAACAGAAGCAAAGAAAATAAAAATAAGAAAGGCTTTAATTAAAGACCTAATTTTAAAAAAAATATAGAACTGATTATAGCAACTTTTAAACATAAAATTAAGACAACAGTTTGTAAGTATAATAGTAAGTACAATCTAAAATATATTTTATAAACAAGTATAAAGAATTCAATATAAGAAGATTAGTAAATAGAAGAAAAAAACAAAAATAACAGATAGGTTAAAAAGAGAAAAAGAAAAGCAAGAATAATGGATAGGTTAAAAGAAAAAATAAAAAAAAGAAGTTGAATCTAAGTAAAAGAAAAAAGACAAATTAGTAAAAAGTAAAAAAAAGAAAAAAAGAACAAAAAAAAAAGAAAACAAATTAAAACAGAAATATAGAAAACAATTTTAGAACTTGTTGTAAAAGGAAGAAGATCTTTTTATTATGAACTTTAAGTAGTTAGACAAGTAGCTTCTTTCTGTTTGAAATAATATAATAGGTTACACTTAGATACTAGTAAAGTGGTCAAATAATGCTATTAAAGATTATACTACCTTTTTAGTCAGAATTTCTAAACAGAACTTCTTATAAAATATATACTTTTTAGATTTATTTATATAATATTGCATACTCTTAAAGTTAATTTTAATACAATCAAAATTATAAGATTACAACCTTAAATACTTCATCCAAGTTGCTAGTATAAAACTATTTTTTAAAAATTCTACTATTAGTAGAATTTGAATTCTGAATCTACTAATTGAAGAATGATATCAAACTATTATATTAAGATCATTATTCATTAATTGTTATATTATTATTTTTTTTTTTTGGTATTAAGGTAACCTCTTTGATCTTTTGACTTTTATTAATCACTTATCAGTATTGTGATTCAATGAACCACTACAGGAGAGTATACAATTGGCTACACATGTAACTTTTCTATATTACCTATTTAAGAAGTCCGCCCAAAAGGTCTCTACCAATTGCCATACCTAACATCCTTGCTTGGGTGTTCTACTTTAAACCTTCTGAACCTGTAATCTGTGTTAACATCACTGGTCATCACTGATGTATCAGATCATCATCCTTAACCTTAGGACTAATTTATTCTCAAGGTAAACCCCTCAGAGTCTTCTGTACCTATTTTTATAGCTGACCTAAGTATCACTATAGCAGAACCAACACTTGCAGTCAGGGCTAACCATTAAATTGCTATGCTCTTGTAGAGTTCACTTAGACTCCAACATCTATTTCATAGCATAATCTCAGTACTTTAGTATACCCCTACCTTTTGTCCAGTCTTTTTACCAAACTTCCAATCCAGATAGTCCATGTAGGACTATGACCAGTCCATTGGTATATTGGGTCAGCCCGATATCCTTTTTCTTCAGTTCGTTCTGGTGGTCTGGTTGGTGGTACCTCCGAGACCCCAATCTGGAGGTTCTTGCCTATCCAGCTACTACGATTAGGTACTATGATCTTGGTATCCATTTCCTTGGATTAGCCTTTATAGTAGGGCTGTTAAAGATCCAGCTACTTTTCTACTCAGGTCTTCCCAAATAGACTTCTTGTTACTTAATTTCAACAGATTTACATGGTCACAAGGACTTATCCAGTGTTTGCACTGCCCAATTTGTTGGTTTGCATTCCTCTGTGTAATACCATACTTACACAGATACCCCATGACCTGCCAGTCATGCTGGTGTGACTGCCATTACAGATATCCTAACCCAATCATTAGTAACAGTTGCCATAATACGAATATTACATAAGTGATTATCCAAATTTTCGCTGTCAATAAGATTTGAACACCCAACCTACCACTTGGAAGGTTGACAACCTGACCACTTCACTAGGTCACCACACCCCTTGTTATATTATTTATATAAAGTTGTTAGTAATATTTATTTAAAAAATATTAAAAAAAATATCAATATTAATAACATTACAATGTAATATATTTTTTATTTAAATTTTATAAATATTTTTTAATTTTTTATATTAAACTATTTTACCTATAAAGTTTTTATTGTTTTTACTCAATTAATTATAATTAAGCAATATTTTTTTAATATCTAAAATCAAAGTTTTTAACAAAATTATTATTTTCTTATATTTAAAATACTATTTAAAACTTTTTTTAAATATTAACAAAGTATATTCAATGTGCATAACTGGATATACCTATCACTCAAACATCTTTTTTTTATTTGTAACTATGCTTGCATCATAATTATAAAAGCATTAAAATTCTATTATTATCTATAGAAATCATTACTTTTAGTAAATTTTAAATGTTTTCTTTTCATTCTTAACTATGTATTTTGTTAATATGTTCTAATAAAATATTAAAACTTAAAATAACTATCTTTAACATTTTAAAACTACTTAAAATTTTTCTTATTCTTAAAAGTATTTATTACATTTGTAAAAAAAATAATAATAAATAAATTACAGTATCTTTAAACAAAAGATCTTTTTCACTTTATTAAAATAAAAAAAGCTTTGAAAGTAATAAACATTATAATATAAATTGTTTTAAGTTGCACTTAATAGAACTAGTATAAGAATGAAAATTACATTATTTTTAATTTTATTAAAAAAAACATAAAAATGTGCATGTTGATCTTGTAGTAAAATATATTACACAAAATTAAGAAACATTTCTACTAATCATTTTCCCTATTCTAAAAACGTCCAAACCAAAATGGACAACTTCTGTGACAGTCACGTGTCTTGCTAACAAGCTGTTTAAATTTTGGTGTTCCAAGAGTATCACGTTTGAAACTTGCTTTTGTTGATGGTGAACTTGGATTACAGATCTTAGTATAAAAAGTATTAAAGGATTTGTGAAAAATTTCTTGTACTACTAAAAGCACTTCTATTTCATCAACAAAAGACAACATTTCTTTTACTGAAGCTGGAACTGAAAATTGCCCAATATGGATCATAGTATATGTTCCCTGAATGAGATCCATCATATAGAAGTCTAATGTAAAACCTATAAAAAGCAATGTTCAAAAAAGTTATTCATAAAATCGTGAAAAAAAAACAACTATTATAATTTCTTACCAACGCATTGAAAACCTAGCAATTTTATGTCAGCACCCAAGTCTATAGCTGAATCAAGACAATCTTTCATAAATATACCAACACGGATTAGATCATTACAATTCTTATAAACATTATTCTTTTCTGAAGGTGGACTGACTTCACCCACAAATATGATACCACTTGTCTGTAACTGATGGACAATAGATACTACAAAGTCCGGTTGTTTGCTTCTTCCCTGTGACTTTCTTGCCTTGCTTTCATCAAGACCCGTATTGGGCCATTCAACAATATGTTTATCTGGATCATGAAATATTTCCTTCATGATGCGGTCCAGATAATTTGTAATCAACGTTATTTCGCTTGGTTCATTTTTAATCTTTCCAGTCGGCAACGTTTTCAAACATTCCAAGATAACAGAATCCAAGTTCTTATCCAACGTTTGATCGTTCGTAAGTTCTGCTAGCAGTGATTTTATGGCACTGCGACGCGACTCTTTTGTTGCTTGCTTGATCACCTTTCGAAACTTTGATTCACATTCTGAGTCTATTTCTGTTTGCTGAACAGGTTTGACTTGTTTATAGACTTCATCAAGCAGAGGAGAACCAAATATGTTGATCATCTTTTTTGAGTAAGAGCCCGGAATAAGCAGAAAAATCGAGGACAGTGCCAGTATTTCATGTACGTTTGATTCAACGAATAGACCATCGGTCTTTGCGACCTTTACTGACTCATTCTGGTATTTCCGGAATAATTGAGATATGTTGATTTCTCCTATCTTAAGATCATTTTCTGGATCCCCATCATTGAAGCACAGTTCGTCTACATCATCAATTATTATGGTGCCGTACTCGTCTTCTTTCACTACAAATGGATTATCTATTGGCAATGAATGTAATTTTGGACTACATGGTGATGGTGTAGAGTATCCATCTTGATGTTGTTTTTTTATCATCCGTTCCTCATTATAATCGATATCTCGTCTTTTTCTTAAGAGATAAGGTTTGTTATCCGTAGCTAACTCATCCTAGGTGACATACAGCAATCATAAAATTTTGGTGTCGAATTTTATCTCAGTGCTGTACGACAGCAGATTACCGTTTGCGCCGTTTCCGGATATCTCAAAAGAAAAAGGGTGAATGAACCTTTTTACCTTGTTAGCATCCTCCGCTTCTTCTAGTTCATCATTTCTGGATTTTTTTGCTTCATTTCTTTCCAAAAAATTTAACTGAAACTTATGAACCATCTTCGAAGTATCGTTTAAGCGTTCATTTCCCGTTTGCAAAAAATTCACAACACCTTCAGCCTAAAAATTTATTAAATTTTAAATTTTGCTTCAAATATATAATCCCGGAAGGTTTAACTACACGTTACCTCGATCAATTTTTGTTTTTTATCTAATATATTAAGTTTTTGGTCCAATTTGTTGTCTTCCCAGAAATCCTTCACTTCCTCTGATGTTTTCTCATTCTTGAAAAAACACAATTGTAAAATTTTCTATTCTACTAACCTAACCTCATAACCCAACCAACCAATCATAACTCTAACCTAACCCAAAGTGGTGTATCTATAGCGGAGCCGTAGCCTTTCATATACGTAGCCGTAGCTAGTATACTAGCTAGTAGAATAACATTGCATTCTCAACGGAGCCGTAGCCATTCATATACTTAGCCATAGCCAGTATACTAGTTGATAATACGCTACAACATTCGTGTGTTGGGATCCCGCAGGCCGTAGCTCTTAGGCAACAAAACGAATGCCTACACCTTTGGCCATAATAAAAAGCTGACTTACAGCAAACTTTTCCAAAGCTTCTACCACTGTTTTGTATTGTTCGTCCATTTCTTTATAACTTCGTTTGATTATGGTGAGTTCTGATATGTATTGACTTTGAATCTTGTCTTTCGGGAGCGAATCTTTTGTTTTTTGTGAGAGATAAATTAAATACTTAATCAACGATGATTTCGAAATCGAACTCCAGTATGCTGTAAATTTTAACGAATACAATGAGAATACTGATTCCTTAAATAAATAATAAGTGATACATATGTACCCGGTTCGCTTAGCTTTTTACAAACGTTTTCATTTAGTTTCATTTTGACTGTGCCAGATCAAACTCAAAACCCTTATGTAAAAAAATTTTTTAAGTCAGAGCGTCGCACAAAAAATATGCATAGATATCTTTTAACCATGAGTACAGGAGGGTCGCGATAGAGCAGGGGAAACATTCGTTTATTGAGTTGAAGTACTGTATACTGTATAGTAGGAGGTAATAAAAAATATATTGTACTTGCTTAATTCATAAAGTTCAACGTTGTTTTTTTTTTTTTTTTTCTTATCTATTATTATTTAAACTTTACAGATCATTTTCGAAGGTTGTATATTCTCTAGAAGATTTGTACATGTAACTCTGGTTATACCCAGTGTTGTCACGTCTACTATGTTCAAGATTTTTTTTGACCATGTCCAACGTCCACATGTCCAAGAATGTCCACAGTAAATACAAGCTTTAAAAATTAATATATTAATTTAAAAAATATATTTTTTATAGTGCTGAATATTTTTATTTAGAAAGTTAAAATAGATTAACTTAATAAAATTTTGAGTAAATGTCAGATTAGCAAGTGTCTCTTTTATACCGACATCATATTGATAATAGATAAATATGTCGGTTTAGCAAGTGCCTTAGTTTTTAAATGTTATAAAGAGAAAACCTGCAAATCTTAGCAGGTTTTTGCAACAATATACGTATCAACTTTGCTACTAATCAATTTGATCAAAACTAGTTGCATCTCTTTTTTGATGTATTTATCACCACAAATTTTTTTTTAGAGTTACACAGATTGAAATCTATCATCATAAATACCAAAAATAACTACAAGAATCGAATCACAAATAAAAAAAATAGCTGCGAAAGGTAAGTTGTATCTGCAACTAATTCTCCTGTTCCAGAAATCTGACATTTTTATATTTTCACCTGTATAATGTCGAATTACTAGCTGATACTGGTACTATACAGCACAAACTCGATAGCATAACCGGCATTCGTTAAAAAAAAAAAAACTTCAATTTTTGGTTAATTTCACTTTAGCGTTAGCTGATCTCTAAAATTAGAAATTTTACATTACATAAACTGGTTATGATGTTATGAGAAAAAACCATGCACTAATCAGATTTAAGATTTTTGGATCGATTTATACCTAGCTGATGGAGTAGCCTTTATTAAAAACAAGGTTTGCGTTGGAGAAGATGCAAATACAGTGAGTAATTTATGAAATAAAGAAGCTATAGGTTGAAAGATTTTGGTCAGATTAGATATAGGATAGAAGAGTATATAGGGTGTCTAAGAATATGTGATGCAAAATGATACGTTTAATTTGCATCTCATATGCTTCGTATAATTAAGATAAAAAGCATTAAATAGATGTAAATGAGATATGATTGGTGGAAGAGTAGTTTGACAGATAGTAATTCTGAAAACTTTCAAGATTAAAAGTCTGAAATATTACAAAGAACTTGCATAATTGAAAAATTCAGATAAAAAATTATAATTAGTTTCTATAGCAAAATTGATCTCAAGTGAAATCGCATAATTCAGAACGCCCTACTGTAAGATTATTGTGCTTAAAGAATAACAGCAAAATAAGAGTTTAATAGATGTTTATTGGTGTTTTTAATTTAATAATTTAATAATTTAAATGAAGAAAGTAGTACAATAGAAAGAAAAGTAATGATAGTTAAAGGGTTGTATGGTTAGAAATAAGTTACGAAAAATAATTACCGGGGAAGGTCTAGAGAACATACAGAATCAGAAGAGGAAGAAATATATTAGTAATAATAATATCCTGATCCGTTGGGAATTAGCGGAAACGAAGTTTCTGCTTAATTAATCCTCCCGTGATCTGATCGGGAGATCATATAGATAATTATTTAATTCCATCTAATTTATCTACAACCTAAACTTACTAAACTCACCTAGATAAAATTTAATGATTTGTAACACTATATGAAGGTTCTGTGTTCATAATAACTTAAATAAAAATTACTTCTTGAAGACAAGGACTTTAACATTAAAAAAAAAAAATCAAAATAGGTTATCTCAGTAAAGTTGTTTGACATATAATATTACATATAATAACCATTTCAAAGTTGAAAAATAATTATTTTTGAAGTCACATTTTAAAATAAACAAAATTAGCAAAATTTTTTCTTTTTTTGTTTTATATAATCGCAAAATTTAATTTTAAGTTACTTAAGTTGAATATGTTTTTACTATAATTTTTATTATAGACACTTTTATAAGAATATACTTGATAGTAAGCTAACGAATAAACACGTGATAAAAATGATATCAATGATTGGAGATGTCGATATGGATCGATCTATAAATTACTAATTTTCTGCCTATCGTTTTTAACACCTACCACTATGTATGCTTTAAGACCCTCTTTAAGAGCGATCTCACGAACCGTCACAACACGTATTTTTCGTCCTACATTATTTGCAACAAGAGCCTTTAGCTATGCCAAACCACTTTATCAACAAGAGGATAATAATCAAAAACCTTTAGAGTATCAAAGGAAAAAAAGGTTATTGAAAAAAAAATGTGCTGACGAATTTGTTGCTAAAATTACTGTAAACTTTTATGTTCCATTTATCATGTTCACGTGTTACCGAGAATTATAATTATGATATCTTTGTTTCCATTAATTACATAGCATCCGGCACCATTTTGGGAAGCAAATGCTGTTATTGAGGACGAAATTAAAACACTTTCGCTTAATGATTTTGAAGATAAATTCTTGATCATGTTATTTTATCCATTTGACTTTACATTCGGTAAGTTAAATTTATGTTACATATGTTCTGACATATTATTTGAAAAGTAACAAGCCTAAAAAAAAACTATATATATTAATTTTAGTATGCCCAACCGAACTGAATGCTTTTTCGTGAGTTTAACATTAATTATATACAAATTAGACCAATTAAATGTTATGAATTTTTTTTTTAAATTTGACATTATTAGTGATCGTATTCAAGAATTCAAAGATATTGGTGCCGAAGTAGTTGCAATTTCTTGTGATTCACAATTTTCTCATCTTGCTTGGAGGTTTGTGTTATTCTGACACGTGTTATTTATTAATTTATATAATAAACTTTTAAATTTCTTTTCAGCAAAATGCCACGAAATCAAGGCGGCATTGGCGGTATCAAGTATGTTATGTATAATTTTATTTATAATTCTTTTTATGTCATTCTTTGTTAAAATGGTTTAATTTCTTTTAACATAAAAAGGATTCCCCTGAGTAAGTTGATCACGTGAACGTGTTTGATATTGGTAGTTGTTAACTTTCATGAATGGAAATATTCAGTTGCCGATTATTCGAAGAAAATAAGCGAAGATTATGGTGTCTTGTATGAAGAGAAGGGCATTCCTTTTAGGTAGATCGATTCCTTCTATTTTGATTTTGTTTACCTTTTATCTTGACTACGTACGTTAAATTATGTAATGCGTAGAGGAACTGTTATAATCGATGAAAAGGTAACGAAGGATGCGACTTCAAATTGCTTTATGTATTATTCGTTTATTAAACACGTTATATTATAGGGAACTGTCCGCGTAATTCATATTAATGATACCGAAATTGGTAAGGGACAAAAATGAAGCCAAAAGGTTTACATATATTCAAATCGCTTATTTAACAAATTTAATAGGCCGTTCAGTGGATGAGATTCTCCGCCTAGTGCAAGCTATTCAATTTGCGAATGATTATGGTGAAGTTTGTCCAGGTACTTGATATTAACTGCTCCAGCTGTTGTGACGTAAAGTTCACTTAGTAACATGTTAATATTTGTTCATAAGCAAACTGGCAAAAAGGTAGTGCAAGTATCGTACCAGATCCAAAAAAATCAATGGCATATTTCTCCAAATTAAAAAACTAGTAGACCAGATCCAATGAAATCAATGGCATATTTCTCCAAAGTAAAAAACGAGTAGATTTGTGAATTAAGTGTGCAAACAATAAAGTGATGGAAATTATGTAAGAAAGGTAGAAGTTGGCAATAAATCAACGTTTTTTTTTGTCTTTTATTTCGATTTTTTTTCAAAGTAATCGTTAATTCTGCGATTATTTTGCCATTTTTTCTCAATCATCTTACATAAACGTTTGAGATCCAAATCAGTAGGTTCAAAATTTACATCCCACATATTTTGTAATATTTTAGTAGCACTCTCCAAATCATTATTATTAATATATCCATTTAATAATGTTTTATAAGTACTTTGATTTGGATAAACCTTTAAATGTTTCATTTCGTGATAGCAATTTTTTGCTTGTACTAAATTACCGGCTCTTATATAGCCTCCAATTAAAATATTATAAAACGCGATTGTCGGTCTGGTTTCACACCTTTTAACATTTTGATATATTTGATAAACATTTTGTAAATTGTTCAGCTTGAAAAACACATTTAACATGCAACCATAAATTTGTATATTTGGTTGAATGTTCACTGATAGCATTTCTTCGTATGCTAATTTTGCAGCCGCATAATCACCTGTGAGCATTAGACCACTAATCAAAGCACCATATGTGGTTACATTAGGTTTAATTCCGTAAGTAGAAAAGCTATCAATGACTCTACCAACACTTTTTATGTCTCCCTTTGCAAAATAACGTTCAATGAGGGTTGTCAATGTTACGACATCAGGTGCAATCTTTTGCATTCTCATATCATCTAAAATATCTGCAATTAACATTTCATATTTTTTATAATATAATAAACCCCTAATTAGAATATTAAATGTCGATATACATGGTCGTACGTTCATTACGTGCATTTGCCGATATATAGATACTGCTTCATCAACTCTATTGTTCCATAATAGACCATTAATTATTCTATTGAATACTATTTCAGTCATTGGAATATTATCTTGTTGCATTTGTTCAAATATTCTTAGAGCTTTTTGATAATCTTTTGCCCGGAAATACGCATCTATCATTGCACAATAAGCGATGGAATCAGGTTTTATATTTTCACGTTTCATTTGTTCCCATATAACTTCTGCATCATGGTACTTTTTTTTTCG